TAGAACTTCAGCCTTTGTTAATGGTATATATGTGTGTGTGTGTGTGTGTGTTTGTGTAATCTCCTGGATAGAAAAAGGACCATATTTGTATTGAGGTGCCTTCCTTTATATAATGCAACATTCCTTTTGTCATGCATTTTTCTAGTAAAAGCTCAGCAAGTCTTCAATAAAAATGGCCACCAATAAATCTACATTGGTAAGTTCATGACCATCTAAAATATGTAAGGATTTTACCAGCATATTTCTTCAGATTTATTGTTGGCATCTCTATGCAAAAAGATACATCCACATTTCTCCTCCCCAGCATTATTTTATTAAAATACCCAACCTGAAAATAAGGCATCTCGAAAATATGCATACTCTGGCTCCATCAAACTTGCTATGTTATGCAGTCAGTTCACCTCTGCATGGGAAAGGGAATAATCCAAGTTGGGGGGGGGGAATAGCCTTCCCAATAATATGACTATATACTTAATTTGTTTCTCTTATATTGAAAGGCAACAATTGTGTAAATCTTAGGTAAAGTCTCCTTCAACTCAAGTTCTACTGGTGACTTAGTGGAATGCCCATGCAGTTTTCTTGGCAACAGAAGAGAAGTGGTTTGCCCCTGCGGCCTTCCTGGATGTTTTTTGACTTCCCAGTCTAGCCTACAACCTGGGAAGTTTCCCATCTAAGTATTAATAAGGCCTGACTCTGCTTAGTTTCTGAGCCCAGACAAGGTCAGCCAGGTTGCCACTTGCTGAGGTGTGTAAATCATTACATAGACTATAAATCTAGAAGAACAGATACAAAACTGACACAAGTTAATGTAAAAAAATCTTGGTTTAAAATTTGTGTTTTAGACATTTTTGATGAGATATTGGCAGAGGGGAGGAATTGGGTCCCAACAGTAGCTGGATTTCAAAAATACATTAGCACAGTTCCTGGGACTGCCTATCTCCGTTTTTAGCTCCAGAGTTAGAACTTGGGATGTTCTAGATAATGTATTAGATCAGTGAGCATCACTGATGATGAGAATCAGCGGGCAAGGTCTATTAGCTCAGTCTTAGAATCTACTCCAGTATGAAATTCCTTTGAAGGGCTTTAGTCCCAGGTAAGCATGAATAGGACTGCAGTTGTCTGGGGGGAAATGCCTTATTAAACGCAGTGAAACCTCCTCATGGATTGGATTGTTTTGTTAAAGGTGGGAGGAAGCTTGCACTAAAAGGATAGAACAGGGTCCACCATAGTCATTCCTTATTTAACAAGTCTAGTCAACATTTGAGAACCCATATTAATAGAATAAAGTATATCCTCATTAGTGTTCTTAGTATAATACTGTTATCTGCTTTTAGAGAAAAGCTGCTTCAGATGTAGAAGAAAGGATGAGTTGAACATAGCAGCTTATTTTGTTAAGACACATCCTGCACCTACTTTCTTAGAAAGACATGTGCTTTGGCCAATATTTGGAACAGTTGAACTAGTTCCTGTAAAAATGTTGTTTATAACAGAGAAAAATATTTTGATTCTAGTGCTAGTAGGTATTTTCCACAAAGTCCTGTGACCTGCACCTTGTATTTTTATACATAGCTTAGAAGGTGGTGTGGTTTTATTAGTAATCATGTGTATAAACAAGTATATCAACTGAGTGAAAATATGGAAAGAAAATTGCATTTTTGTATGAAGAATAAAAATGAACAGCTGAGTACATTGTCTTTGTCTAGAAAAGGCAGCACTAATGTTGCATCTAAAACTCTGCCAAGGGTGCAAATATTGTATGTTAGTTTAACATACTGGTTTTACTTGCTAGGTTTGACATGAATATGCAACTTACCATAATTTATAGATAAATATGAATTCTAAAATATGGCTGGAAAATAACTGATTTTGGGGTGAAAATGTAGTTGTATATAGAGGGATGGGGAAAATACAGTAAAATGCCATGTATGTGTCTTTGTATTTTCAACCTTTTGAATTTTTTTGTGCTAAACTCCCAAGATTTTAAGTGGATCATAGAAATGAACTAGTAGTCTGACGTTTAGTGTTTCTCAATTTTAAGACAAGATGTTGCTTATTTAGTGTATATGGTATGTAGATTTTATGTAAATTATAGAGAACAATCACTTTTATGCAGACTGTTAACATACCCAACAATAACATCCCAAAGGGATTTCTGCCATTGGGTGCTATCATTTTTGTGAAAAGAAGATGTCAAGATTTTTGCGAATTTCTGGTTGTCTTTTAATGGTCAGTCAGTTTTTCTGGGTACTCTGAGCCAGTATCAAGCATTACTGGCCCTTTCTTTGTATTTAACCTTTTTACCTCCCCCCAAACTTCTGTGATGCCTAGTACTATAAATATATTTTTGGGATTGCAATCCTGACTGTGCTTAACTGAAAGTAAACTCTGCTAAACAATGTCACTATACCAGTCAGTAGGTATAAAATTGTATTCCATATAGGACAGATAAAAACAACGACCTTTTTTATTATTTACATTTTTTGGAAATACTGATCGCTCATTTATACATATTTTTGCTAGTATTTTGTGAGTGGGGTATTTAGCATTAGCCTTTAATACAGTTGCTCAGAACCCAAAGAAACTATCACACTGCTTTCAACCTGTTTTGATACTCATTTTCAAAAGGTAGCACAGGAACGCTGCTCTAAAGAAAAGGTTATGGCCCTATATTGAGATTCACAAAATTTGAAATTGGGAGATCTTGACATTGTTTCTCTTAATCTGGTTTTCCCACAATTAATATATCTGTGAGGATTAATATGGATTATACTGTCACTGTATCACCTATTTTGAATTACCCTTTATGGAATGCATCCAAAATTGTGTCCGGGCTTTGCATTTGTTTCTAAAAGAACTGCAACACTTCTAACATTACAATAATAAACTGATTTCAAGCCAACGCATAGAGATATTACAGAAAATAACATCTTACTGAATTGTGTTTATTGAAGTTGGAATGCTTTGAGGATGATGTGGATGTAATAACCTGCTATCTGAATAATAATTGGCTGCTAAGAGCTTTTCTATGGAGTTTAATTTAAAGCCATTTTCAGTCTCCTTTTAAATTTCTTGAGTTTAAGTTCGATTGAGAGCCAGTTTGGAGTAGTGGTTAAGGCATCAGGCTAGAAACCAAGAGACCATGAGTTCTAGTCCCACCTAGGCACAAAGCCAGCTGGGTGACTTTGGACCAGTCACTTTCTCTCAGCCCTAGGAAGGAGCAGTGGCAAACCACTTCTGAAAAACTTTGCCAAGAAAACTGCAGGGACTTGTCCAGGCAGTCTTTGAGAATTGGATGCAACTGAACAGATTAAAAAAGCAAGTTCCATTAGTGCTAACATTTCTGATACAAAGGGCATTTGTGTCAGTGAAGAAATTTCAATCAAACTATGTTAAGAACTGCTCTTGCACACACATCTTCTTGTATGTTTAATAAAAGTTGAAATGATGCATATATACAATTAAAAATGTTTGATACATAGCATCTGAAAGCCTCAAAACTGCTTTTAACTGTTGATTGCTATTAACATTGCAACCTATGTTTCCTTATGTATGCAGATAACTCAGGGAGCTTCTCTTCTCTTTAGTACTTACCCACAATTTGTTTGGCTTGCTTTCTATTATGCAAGGTTTTTTTAATGTTAATCCATAAAAAGGAAATGGCTAACAGTAATTCTGAATAAAATATTTAGGACAATGGAATAAAAGAGATAAGAAATGCACAGATCTCAAAAGCTCTTGTTTAAAATAAATCTAGGTCTTATTGAACAGAGTATGACATTTTCTTCTTGGCTGAAATAAAGATTTAGTATTGCTGTTAAGATATATATGTGCAAATGATTTTGTTTTATAGCATAAAATGGGGAAGAAACAGAATGGCAAAGGCAAAAAAGTTGAAGAAGCAGAACCTGAAGAATTTGTTGTGGAAAAAGTCCTGGATCGACGTGTAGTTAATGGCAAGGTGGAGTACTTCTTAAAATGGAAGGGATTTACTGAGTAAGGAACTTCATACAATTTTTTTCTAAAAAGCTTTCAATACCAGTGTTAAATTGAACAATTCCATACAGATATGGTGTGAAAATAATAGATTGCTACAACCAATTTCAGGAAAAGTCAAGTTCATATCCTCTAGAGCTTTTGGATTCACATCCAATATGTATGGAAAATGGGCAGGAATTACACGTTATAGTCCAAAATATCTGGACTGCACTTAGACTAATAAAAAATATTTTCAGTATAAAACTGGCTTCCCTGCTTAACTTTGGTAGGGCTGTGGTAAATGCTTCATTTCTCATTGGATTGTGCTTTAGCTGTATAGGCCATGAACAATCCTTCTGCTGGATGTATGCCATGTATAATGCAATCCTGAACACGTTTGCTAAGCAGTCAGCACCATTTCATTCAATGAATTTATTCCCAAGTATATACAGTTAAAGCGTTAATATTTTTTCCAGGCATATTCTTCAGTTATAGGAAAAAAGTAGACTAATTATTAAGCATTTTAATACTCAAATTACCAATATTGATCCAGATTGATCTGGAAATTAAGAGTGAGTTCATGCTGTCAAAGTATAATGGTTATTTATAGCCCTTAATTTACTCAAATTGCTAGGAGAGTCTTTGAAAATTAACATTAAGAATTGACCATCTTTTTCCTTCTCTGTTGGTGGTAAATGCTTTGTAGGATTGAGTTGCTATATATTATAATATAGCAATTCAGGCAAAAAAAGCAAGTGTTAAATGCTTAAGAATAATAATTCAGTTTTCTACTCACTGATTTTTTAAAATTCTCTCAGCTATTTTGAATGTGCTTCTACAGGCCACATCTCATGTTATATGGCATTGCATAATTCAGTTTGTAGCAGGGTTGAGCAACATTTTGGTAACCAGGAGCCTCAATTTATATTTTTGGATTGAGTTGAAGCCCGTACAATTAAGGCTTTGTTATATATTTTTTTTCCTCGATTTCTAGGTAAAATTCATTATTTTCCACAAGCTATGCTTACTTTAGAGTTATATTACCATGGGGGGAAGGGGGCTCAGAATCTGGAAGACTGCATTTGTCAAGTTTTAGCAATAATAGTTGACTGCAAAATCGATGAGTAAGAACTGCATATGACATTCCATAGTATGGTTGCTACGTATTGACTGAAATAATTACCCAGTATAGTTTTAATTTGGTTTAGCTACTATAGGAACTAGTCTACAAGAAATGGGTTATCAAAAAAATAAACTCTTGACAATTGAGTTGCTCTAAGAATTGAGTAGTTAATCTGAATTTCATGTATAACTATGACTTGTTGATTTCTATTTTTTTTCTTGTTTTTTTATCAACTTTTTTGTAGTGCTGATAATACATGGGAGCCTGAAGAAAATTTGGATTGCCCGGAGCTAATAGAAGCTTTTCTGAATTCTCAGAAAGCTGGTAAAGAAAAAACAGAAGGTACCAAAAGAAAATCCCTTTCAGATAGTGAATCTGAGGACAGCAAATCAAAGAAAAAGAGGGATTCTGTAAGTTAATGAAAACATTAAACATGCATTCATGTCTGAATAGAAAGAAGACAAGGGAGGACCATGTACTCTAGGAACAAGCATCTCTTACCCCCTGGTTAACGGCTCGATTTTCATGGGTCACTCCCAGCACGCATATGGCACAGGCATAATGCACTTCTAATCTACTTCACATTCAGTTTAATCCCCTTTTACATACTCATATGCCAGATCCCTGCATGCTCTCAGTTTCTTCTTCAGCAACTCTGCTTCTGAAGTTACCTTGTTATACTATAATTGAAGGAGGTCACTATCACTCCATTCCTGGGAAATTTCTCGGAAAGGATTTGAAATGAGGACATCTCATTCCTAGGGCGGTGAGGGAAATGGTAATACCGAATTCCTTCACTGAGGGATGAGAATAAGAGAAAGCTGGTCAACAGGATGCCTGAAACTGGGGGCAGGATCTGCAGCAGATTGCAAGTGATTTCTAAGAAATGCATGCGGTCTACAGGCTAGCCCTGATTTACATAGTTCTGAGTGTATTGATAGACCATATGCTGATTTTTTCCAAAATCAGAAGGTAATGGAAGTATTTACAATTCTCTCTAAATATTTACTCCAACAGGTTGATAAACCCAGGGGATTTGCACGTGGTCTTGATCCTGAACGAATAATTGGAGCCACAGATAGCAGTGGGGAACTTATGTTTCTTATGAAATGGTAAGTAGTAGACTGGCAAACTAGTTTATAGTGTGGCTTTAATTAAACTTAATAAAAAATAGTATTTTTTTGTTGCTACAAACAAGTTTAAGTGATATTGTTAGGTTGGTTTTCCTTTTTTAGTGTTAATAAATCATACCATATTATTTAAGAAGTTAAAAACATGTTATAACTTTATTTTATCACATGTAAACTATCTGACTTGTAATATTACTGTACCTGTCCACAGTTATTAAAACTATTTTGCTCTTGTGTAAGGTATAATTTGCCACAAAAGAACTTGAGTATACACAACAGCAACCTAGTTTCTTTCCGGTTATTTTTGGGAGCACATGCCACTGACTTTGTGGTGATTAATTCTCATTAGATCTTTAAAATTGACAGCTGTATTCATAAATCACCATTTCAGTCCTATTGATTGCAGAATTTACTCAAAATTAGCTACCAGCCATTCTTCTCACACACTAACAAATTTTGAATTATTAGAGTAGGAATTCTTAAAATTTCTTTAATTCTCCTAATAATATAATGAATATGAGAGCTGGGAATGCCATCAAAAAAGATGCTTTGAAATGCATAGAAAAGAAATTTTGTCTTTTTTTTTAGATTGTGCAATTCATGCAACCCGAGAAAAAGACATGGCTGTTTTTAATTATTCGAAAACAGATACTTCATAGAGCTGCTGTGAATTTCAAAGCACCTCTTTTGAAGCATGAATAACCCTTACAGATTCAAATCTGCTTGCCTGAAAAAGAGCCCTAGCATGTTAATGGGTGTTTTGATTGATTGATATGGTCTATCAAATTGGTATCAACTTTTAACCACATAGATAACTTTGGAATAGATGTGCACAGACTTAAGCTGTGTGTAGTAATCTCAAAGACACTAGTAGTCTGGTTTAAAATTAGCACTCCAGAGAAACAAGTAAGGATTTTAACTTCATGGCAGTTCAGCCTTGAATAGAGCAAGTTCAGATTAATCTATCTAAATAAATGAAAAGCTGTTCCAAATTGTATCACTCTGCCTTATGATACCTGGTTCATCTAGAATTTATACATATGCTTAGTTAAAATGAAGTTTTAATAAGACCACCAAAGTTTAGGAATAATAGCAGATTACATATGTCTCATAAATGCTGCTAATGCTCTCAAGGCTAAAGGGGAAGGATTGTAAAGACCGATAGCAGGGCACAAAACAGGGTTTTGTGAGCCATGGGGTGTCTCCAAATGACTTTAGAAATAGTTTTCAATATATTAATTGGACATTCTCTCTTAAAACAGGAAAGACTCAGATGAAGCTGACCTGGTATTAGCCAAAGAAGCTAATGTGAAATGTCCTCAGATTGTAATTGCTTTTTACGAAGAACGATTAACTTGGCATTCTTGCCCAGAGGATGAAGCACAATAATTGTTTGCATTCTCTCCCTCCCCTACCCTTTTTTTTATATATGTATGATTTTGACTTAACAAATGTGGAAAGCTTATAAGTCCTAATGAGATAAGTTTAGTTATTTTTAAGGTAATGTGTTTTGCATAAAGAGGAAAGCAAAAGGTTTGTGCTATCGCTTTGTTTTTTACAGGAAAGCATTTCATACTGCTTCCTGCATATTAAATGAAGTGTTTTATAAAACTTGATAGTTACTAGTGATCCTTAATGGTAATTTGTTCAGTTTCACAAGTGTTTTGTAGCTCTCTATACAACAAATGTGCATGCATCTTTTCTGCCATTTAGTGTGTAAAGCCATTCTTTTTAGTATTTGTGGCAAATTGGTTCTAAGAGGACCAGGTGAAAATTTCATAGTAATTTGAAAGTGCACACTGTATATTACTTACTTTATTGTACATACTGGTGAACAGCTATCAATAAAATAGTTTTATATTCTTGTGCTTTCTTTGCCAAACTGCAGGAAGCTAAGAGGTTTTGAAGGCTATTTTGGTATGGATAACATCCACTAATGGATAGAGGCAGAGGTGGTTTTTTTTCCCCAAATGAACTGCTATAACTAGACAGTTATATGAAACATATAGTTTCTCCCACAGATGTTTGTATGTTGTTTCCCAGAATGAGCAAAATAAGGGGAAAAAATGAACATAAAAAGCTTTTGTGGTATACTGAATTTTTCAGTTTTTAAAAAACTAGTATCCAGGCTTGGTTATCATATTTATAGTCCTCAAAGTATATGGCTGAGCAATCAAATCCTGATTTAATCCCCTTAAACCCTGTATCTGATGCTTCACAAGTTAATAAGTTATTGATGTCTTAGTCCTGGCTTGTTTAGAAACTATTATCCCTAATCCCCGATACGCATTTCACATAAAGTTATTTTAACTGATTGCCTGATAGATTTATGTAGGTAGCAAAATTGAAGAGTGGAACTGCAACTTAGAGGACTCTGTTGGAATATACAGCACATACGTATCATATGGTCAATCGCTAAGTCACAATTTGATCATCCAAATAGGGTTACTGTGTGCATGATTAATTTTTAAACACAAGTGCATGCAAATAACTAGCATTCTTTCATACACACAAGTATTTTTAATGTGCCTGTAAAAAGTATTGAGGCAACTGCCTCTATATTTTTTGCTGTCTGTACTGATTGCACTAGCGATACCTCTTGAAGCTCTTCAGGCAAAAGGCAATATAGTCCACTCTGGAACAGATTTGTCAACAAGTTATCACTCATCTCTGGTATTTTTGGGTCAGTTTATGGATTCATTTGGCTTTGGTTATTTTCAGTTTGGGTGAGCAATAAGGAATCTTGTCATGTATGACTTTATTGTAAGGTTAGCCTGTTTCTATTATAGTTGAGTCAGTGATTCCATGCATATGCTGAGTAAATAAAATGGATTCTTGAAGCTCACCATAATCACTTTCTATAAAAAACATCAACTTCTCTCATTAAATTGTAATAATTCCTCTCATTTCTGAGAATTGCTGTAAGGATAAGTATGGCACCACTCTGAAAGAATTAGAGTTCTAAACATAAAGTGAGTTTACTGCCTTTCAATAAACCTATTTCCTGATACTTGTTGAGGTTCCCTTCAATTTTTCTGTATTTTGCTGATTTCTTCTATTTTGTTCAGTGTTTGTATTTCACTCTGCTTATGTTTTTCTCAAACTTTTATAAAAATATATATTTTTATGCAGATGAGCCTACAGGTAGTTCTTGGATTACGACCACTCGTTCAGCGACTGTTCAAAGTTATGACAATGCTGAACAAGGGAGACTTACGACTGGTCCATGAAGTTGCAGCCGTCGCAGCGTCTCCGCGGTCACGTGATCGCAATCTGGGCACTCAGTGCCTGACTCAAGATTACAACATCACAGCAAGCCACAGTTACATGATCGTGATTTCTGACATTCCCTGCCAGCTTCCCATGAGCAAAGTCACTAGGGAAGCCAGCAGGAACTTGAACGTTGCTTCCGCTCCTGCCACTTTTTTGCCCACCTGCACTCCTTAGCACGTACCCACGCACCTGCCTGTACTCTGTAGCACCTGCCCATGGCACCCCCATCCCCCGCAGCTCTCACTGCAGGCCTGCTTGCCTGGGACTCCCACCTCTTTCTGCTTAATGACCTGCACGGTCCTGGGGTTACAACAACTGGGGCTGCAGGGATTGCCGTTGCTAAGTAATGTAGTCATGTGATGTCACACTTTATGACTGCATCACTTAACAACAGAAGTCCCAATTGCTGTCATAACCTGAGGACTACCTGTATATGGCTACATAGAAATAGACTCTAGTGAGGATAGAGGATTTTAAATCCCCAAAGCACAGGGGATAAAATCTTGTATGTGAGGGCATGATATAATGTAACATCCATATCTCTGGGAGCATAAGAAAAGATAGATACACACACACCATTCTAAAGAGATTCTATATATCCATTCCTGCAACACCATTGAGCAGTAGGGCCTGGATAGCTCCTAAAGCTAATGCACTGTATGTAGAATCACCTAAAATGTAATGGCACATGAGTTCACTTGGTTGGACTACTGTGACACATTGTACATAGGGCTGCCTTTAAAGACCACATGAAAGCTTTAATTAGTCCAGAATACAATGGCCTGATCATTGGGTACACTCTAACATGAGCATATTACAATTGCAACTCAGGCACTCGATTGGCTTTCTATTATCTCCCATATGAAATTCAAAGTACTGGTTTTAACTTTTAATGCCCTACATGGCTTGGTATTGAGGACCATCTCACTCAACTTTGACCAACCTGATAAGCTTCTGGGAAAGAGATTAAAAACAATTATTTAAAAGGGGACTTGAGTTACATGTTACCTTCTACTTTTATTGCCTTTTGATTGGTGGGTTTTTAAATTTTATCTATGCTTCAATTATTGTTACGTAAAATTATTTCTACTGTGGACATTTTATTGAGATTATAGCCCACTGAGAATGTCTCAATTATGATGGGTAAGAAAATTGAATAAATATATAACCAAGAACAGAAAAATAAATCAGTGTTGGATGTTGATTGAATAGAAAAGTGAGTGATCAATATGAAAGAGATACAGGAAATGATTTAATCATGTAGAAAGAATGAATTAGGATCAAATCCCAAACAAATATATGAAAGAAGAGTGAACTGTCATGTAGAAGGGGAAGACCTAGAAAATAGGCTGATGAGATCTTGAAAAAGCAATGAAAAGTGTAAAAGGCAGTATATGAAGCAGTGTATGGATGTGTAAAAGTGAGGATGATTTGCAAGTATAGCAAGGTATGGAGAGTGAGTGAATAGTATTAGCATAAACGACAGTATTAATGTGTTTTTCATGCTTTTAGTTTCTTTGCCCTACTACAGGTAGGTCATAATTCATGTGAGTTCAAATAATCTAATATTCTATTTAGTGTGAATTGTAAATTGATACCAGGTTGCATTTAATGTGACCCAAAATTCAGTTAATGTGAGGCTAGTGCATCTGCAGTTGAGGCTAGCACATGCAAAGTTGCAGTTGGGGTTTTAGATCTTTGTGTGTACAAAATGAAGGAAAGGAAGTTTTTGTCAGAGGGAAACAGTACAAGTTTAAAAAAGAAGAGGCTCATTACAGCAAGCATTTGATGTAATTGAACAACACGAATATTGTTATAACACTAAAATAGGACAAGATATTGGAATGCCTGAATCTATAGTAATTTTTTTTGTTTGTATTTTGCTTTCTATAATTACTCTGTGACTGTTAACCATAAATTTAAATTAAAAGTGTATTCTTTTTATTCTTTACTGTAATATTTCATTAATATACATATAAAAATTATGTTTAAAACTTCATTGCCTATTTCTGTCAAGTGGGAACGAATTACCATGTTTTCTATAGAAATCTCACTGAATAGTGTGAATTTGAATATGTCTATTATGTCACCCTCTTCAACATGTTTGTTGACATAGTCAAAAGTATTTGAGGATTAATGAAGTCTCCCATTAGTATGACTGTTTCTTGAAAGATACTTTTTAAATGTTATTTTATATCTGCAAGTCAGCTATAACTTAGGCCTTTCTTTACTGCTGAAGTGGTATCCACCCATTCTTGAGTTGGCAGAAAACTATACTGGCATGAAATTTGCTGTCTCCATTGTCAGTCATCTTACTTCTCTCCAAGTTAATGGGTGACAAAAGATGTTATTTACCCTGAAATTCCTCTTGGACAATGTTGGAATAAGGGGGAGATCACTTACACAGGATGGATAAGGTGGCTTACTGTTTTGCTGTTGGGTTGGGGACAAGATGAAGGCAATAACATGGGGATGTGGCAGAAAAAGGATAATGCCAGGAAATGCCTGTGCTCCAATTAAGTATAAATGCAAATGGGCATTTTTGGGGGCATATGTGTGCAATAGCATGTCCCTAATACTAACTTACTTTGGGGGATTGATGAGACACTCTGCTGGTCTCATCAGCATAAACCGTTTATGATTCCTACTTTACGGGATTCCATACCCTCTTTGCATACAAGGACATCCCAAAATGTCCTTCCCTGCCTTTTCTATCAAACTATATCCAGGGATAATTGTATCATTGGTTATTTCTCTTTCATCAAGTTTTTGTAATGCTTGCTTATCTATGTTTTCTTCCACCATCACACACACCAATTCTTCCATTTCAGAGGCATCTGGTATTTGTATATAAGCACTTACAGTCTCGCCCTTGTTTTTTTGTGGCACATGCTTTCAGCCTTGTGACCTTATGGCTTTCTTGAATGACTGTATGCCCTTCCTGGATTTATTCTATGCTCTTCTGAACAATTAAAAAATTACTTGAATTATTTTCCTGAGCCAAGTCCTTGCATCCTGTGAACTTTCCCACTCAATCCATTTTAAAAGTGCTCTGCCAACATTTTAATGGTGAGTACCAGTAGTTGGTCCCCTCCTGGTTCAAGTGCAACCCATCCATTTTGTACAGGGCTGGCTTCTCCAAAAGGTACTCCAATGCCTCACAAAATAAATTCTTCCAACATCATCACTGCAGCCACTGACTGAGAGTACTCAGCTTTTCCTGTCTGATTGGCTTTGTGCATAGAACAAACAGAATATTTAAGAAAGCCATTTTGGATGGTTCCAGATTTCAAAATAAGTTTATGTTAAGCTCAGTTCTATGTACTGCCAAGTGAATTCCCTTGAGATCGATTGTACTCAACTTCAAATAAACGTTTGTATATAATTGCAATGTAAATTCACTTTTCAGGAAGCGCTTAAACTTTTTTAAAACTAAACTTTAATTTGGTTACTAGGTATCACCAATCCAAACAGAATGGGATTGAAAAATGTTGATTTATATGCTTATTTTTGTTGGTTTTTGTTTTAATTACACTTAGTTCACACTGCACTTGCAAGTTTGGGAGCACCCCCCTGCAAAGATACAGGATATGATATAAAGGAGAATGCATGATTTCAAAATCTTATTTATGAGCTATAAATGTTGGTTCAGTAATGTTAATACATTTACTGAAACACAAGATAAGAGAATATGACTAATCTGCTGTTTCTGTGAACAGCATTGATGATTATTCAGTAGATGGCAGTCTTCAATAGTGTTATTAAAAACAATTTTTCCAAGTCAGTATGATTGCAGTTGTTCTGACTCTTCAACATTTATATGTTATATTGGCTGGGTTATATGATATGTTAGATGAATAAGGTTATTGATTCTGTGTATTGTGTGAAGACAGCTAGTATGATTATTTTATGCCTGTTGTGGAAACCCAGGCAATTTAAGTTAATTCAGCAAATCATGAATTATGGTGATCTACAGAACCAACTCACTTGGGATTTCATGATGTTTTCTAATTACTCTGCAGAACTGTTATAAATTTTCTCAAAATGCTGTTGTGGCAATTAATTTTGTTGCTTCAAAAAGTGATTCAATTTATGAAGAATTAAATATTGTTTTTAATCTAATGCTTTAGCGCTGGACCATTGATATGGGGACATCTGAGGATTTCTACCTTGATTTATTTTACACATTTCTATTCTGTCTTTATCAAATGAGTTCAAGGTAGTATAAACTGTTCTCTTGCCCAAGCTCACTTCATTCTTACTGATCCTTACTCTAACCTTAGCTATACGACTGTCATTGTTTTTCCTGCAATAGACTAACATGATTACTCCTCTAGAAAGAGGCATCCAGAACTAAATGCTGAAATACACAGGTTCCTCCAGCCCATCTTTAGTTCACAAACCTCACCCTACCACAGTGTATTTGAATACCTGATTATTATCTCAATTGGTATATGAAAGGTAAGTCTCAAAGTAGGAAAAACATTTCTGTTTTCATGAAGTACCTTATTTCTTCATTCCCTTCTGGCAGAACTGAAGAGCATATGCTTTTATGTCGAATGTCTCAAGTTT